GGGCCTGGGCTGGATTCGAGCCCGCCACCTTGGGTGTATGTGGCTGGCGCCTTAGCTACTTGAGCCACAGGCACGGAGCCTATTTATTGTTTTGAGACAGAGTCTCACTCTGTTGTCCTGGGTAGAGTGCTATGACATCATAGCTCACAGCAACCTCAAACTCTTGGGCTCAAGTGATCCTTTGCCTCAGTTTTTCTTTTCTTCTTTTTTTTTTTTTTGTAGAGACAGAGTTTCACTTTATCACCCACAGTAGAGAGCTGTGGCATCATAGCTCACACCAACCTCCAACTCCTGAGCTTAGGCAATTCTCTTACCTCACCCTCCTGAGTAGCTGGGACTATAGGCACCCACCACAACGCCCAGCTATTTTTTTGTTGCAGTTTGGCTGGAGCCAGGTTTGAACCTGCCACCCCTTGGTATATAGGACCGGCGCCCTACTCACTGAGCCACAGCCACTGCCCCAGATTTTATTTTCTCTTTCTTTCTTTCTTTCTTTCTTTCTTTCTTTCTTTCAGAGAGAGAGTCTCAAGTTGTTGCCCTGGATAGAGTGTTGTGGTGTCACAGCATATAGCAACCTCAAACTCTTGAGTTTAAGCAATTCTCTTGCCTCAGCCTCCCAAATACCTGGCGCCCACCACAACACCTGGCTATTTGTTTTTGTTTCTGTTTTTGGCCGGGGCTGGGTTTGAACCCGCCACCTCCAGCATATGGGGCTGGTGCCTTACTCCTTTGAGCCACAGGTGCCACCCTATTTTTTGTTGTTGTTGTCGTCATTGTTGTTTAGCAGGCCCGGGCCGGGTTTGAACCTGCGAGCCTACCCACTAAGCAACGGGTACTTCCCAGGTTTTCATTTTTAATAGAGATGGGATCTCACTGTTGCTCAGACTAGTCTTGAACTAGTGAACTGAAGGAATCCACCCACCTCAGCCTCCCAGAGTGCTGGGAGCCACCTCACCCAGCCTGTGTTTTAAAGATTTTCTCTGCATAATTTTCGAAGTTAGTAAATTAAATACTTTGTTTCCTATATCTAAGTTTGTTTCCTATAGGAGCTGGATTTTAAAAAAGAAAACTGTTTATAACCTTCATTTTGTTTTTGCACGTGAGTCTGTTGTCCCAGAAAAGAATCCACCTTGGGTATATTTCATTCTTTCTTAGGCTGCAGAAGTGCAGGTGAAATGGATGAGGAAAGAGACAAATTGAAGATGTGCCTTTGAACACTAAAACTCTTTACCCCTTCCTCTCCTTTTCTCTGAGAACAGGGCTTGAACCTGATTTTTTTTCTTTTTTTTTTTTTTTTTTTTTTGAGACAGAGCCTCAAGCTGTCCCCTGGGTAGAGTGCCATAGCATCAAAGCTCACAGCAACCTCCAACTCCTGGGCTCAAGCAAGTCTCCTGCCCCAGCCTCCCAAGTAGTTGGGACCACAGGCGCCTGCCACAATGCCTGACTATTGTTTGGTTGCAGCCATCATTGTTGTTTGGCGGCCGGGCTGGATTCGAAGCCGCCACCTTAGGTGTATGTGGCTGGTGCCTTAGCCACTTGAGTCACAGGCGCCAAGCCTTGAACCTGATTTCTTGCCACAATTTTAGTCTTTGCCATGGAGGACATAACCTTCTCTGTCCAGTCAAGATGAATACATTTTCTGCATTAGTGCAAAAGGATGAGATTAAAATTTCAGTACCTAGATTTGTAACCTTCGGTAACTTGCAGATAGAGATTGGGGTGAGGTTGACTCTTCCCTCCACCAAGACAAATTTTCATATTTGGGGGGTTGTTGAATTAAGATATCTAGCTTCAACAGGTGTTCTCCCCACACTCCTAGGAGATAGTGAGGTAGAAGTAGACAGAAGTATTTCTTCCATCCTGCTTCAGTAGGGATCTGAGAAGAGCAAGAGAGAAAACAAGATGTTTCCAGATGAGTTCCAGGCCTCTCCATTCTTACTCCAAGAAGTAAGCCTACTTGGCCCCTGGAGACTCCAATAAAGGCTCTTGGTCATGGGTTGGAGGAGCAGGTGATGGATCAGAGGGATCTGCTTCTTCTGGGCAGAGGATCAGAGGCAGGGAGAAGAAGGGCAGCAGAGAAGTCCCAGGTCCAGTTGTTGGAATCAATACCTTGGACAGATAGCAGCCCCAAGTTGGCCCATTGGCTGAAAGTTCAGCACCACCGCCAGAGGCCTCCTTCCGGGCCCCTTCCCCAGTCCCACCCAGCCTCCCTGTCATGTTCCAGGGAGGGACCTCACCTCTGCCCTTGGTCAACTAGTCCCCAGCATTTAAGTGTTGTGATAAATGAAGGGTTGGTTTCCTTCTAAGGCCCTTCAGAATTTCTTCACTGAGCTCTCTATTCTGCAGCTTCCTGGTAGAGCAGGGTTCGCCTTAGAGCAACTCTTATTAAGATCCAGCCGATTTGCATATATCTGCAATCACTGGGGCTTCTCTGTTCTGGTTTTATTATAAATGAATTGTTCACAGGAAGAAACAGAAGGATTATTTCACTCCTTTTCTTCTTCTTCCCCCATTTGTAGGTGCTCAGTCTGGTAATTTCCCCCAGATGCCTGCCAAGGTGTGTGTGGTGGGGAAGGTGGGGACTAGATTCCTAGCAGCTAAGGGCTTGTTGGGGCATCCTGTGTAGTTTTCCCCAGGTAATTTCCTCCATCTGTTTGGTTTCTGAAAGATCCTTGCAAGGTTCAGAGGGAGTCTGCGTTTTGTTTTACCACCCAGAGTCAGAACCTTTGAAGTCCCTGGAGCTAGACTGGTGCCTTAGAGACTGCTGAGGGGATGGGACCTGGTTTTGAAGAGGGGACTGAGGGGTGGTGGAGTGAGGACTCATTTTGAAGTGAAAGGAGTCCTGGGTCTCTAAGCAGCTTCTAAAAATACCATCTTCCAGTGCTGGGGGAGGGGAAGGAGAAAAATCAAGCGTGAGGAGAATGAAGATGGGAAGGAGGTGGGAGTGTAAGAACATGTCTTCAGGTAGATCTGATTTTAGAGGTCCCACCTGCTTCCAAGGACCACACATATGCCTCACCTCCTTCTTGCCTCCTTAACAGGCTTCAGTCTCTCAAGGTGGCCAAGCCCCAGCCTCTCCTGGTGACCTTTCTTTTTGCAGGTAGAGATCATTCCTCCCACCTATTCTGATTGCTACTGCCCACCATGTAGGTCTGTGAACAAGGAAATGTGCACATACACATACATAACCCCTTGCTCACACACACACACATACACACACAGAAATGGCACATGAAAGCAGCTTATAAATGGCCATTGGCCTATGATGCCAGGAAGAGGTGTGAACTGTTTCAAAGATGAGATGATTCACCCAGGCAGCCTCAGCACTGAGTGTGGCACCCAGTGTTGGTTGGAGGGATGAGGAATATATAATTTATATATATTCAAAATGCACGGCCACTCAGACCACATAGGCCAAGTTGACACAGGACTCACACTCATTCTCAAGTCTTCTCTGGCTATTATACAGCCTGTAAAGGGAAGGAGGGTAGGTCCCCCAAGGAAAGAGATTTGAAAAGCCACAAAGTGGGTGGAGCTTTTGCCTCTTGAGCTCAGCCCAGATGGTGGCGCTCAGTAGCCACCTCCCTGGTCTTGGAGGGCCCCAGCCCTTCCCACCGCCACAGTGTTAAACCCTCAGCTAGCACATAAATGACCTTCAGCAGGTAGAGGTCGTGTCCTGTGTTCTCTTGCGGCTTTCTTCAGCGCCTGCGGAGCTCTGAGAGAATCGCGCCGCCTCTCTCACGGAGATGCCTCGGATTCCCCATCGCTGCGCTCCCCACCAGTCCCCTGGGGTGGGCGGAGTGGGGTGATCAAAAAGAACCCTAGGCTGAGCAGACTGAGGACAGGGGTGGTTGTGGGGTGTGCTGCTTGTACCTTGACAGTAGGAGCAAGAACCTGAGGAACCGATCGTTAGTGCAAAATCTAACCACCGCCCCCATCCCCGCGTCCACATGGTTTCCCCGCCTCGGAAGCATGCTGGCAGGGTGGAAACCCTTCTCCCACTCTGCTACCTTTCTGGAACAGTTCCTGGGGTCAGGCCCAACCCCTCCTTCCTGCCGTGTGTGTGTGTGTGTGTGTGTGTGTGTGTGTGTGTTATGAGGGCGGGAAGGGAACAGGGCGGGATCTGAGGCAGCAGACACACACACCAGGAGTAGCAAACACAGGAAGAGACGAAGGGCTGGGAGAATGGAGAGCTCCCCAGAGCTTGGGGCTAGGACATTAGGTTTCAAACCTCCTGCAAGTTCTGGGAGCAAGGGTTCAGAGGCTACCTTCCCGAGGTCTCCCCTCCTTACTCCAAGCCAACATTGCTTACTTCTGAGGAATGAGGAGCAAAGGTTTAGCGCTCTAGGCCACCGACGCCAGCTCACCCCCTCCCCAGAAGCCCTGCCCGCTCTCAGCGATGCCCCTCCCCCCCAGGTTTGGAGATCGGTGGGACCCCTTCCTTTCACCCTCCAGTTGGGTGTTCCGCCCCTGGCCTATGAAACTCCACCTCCCCACCCTCTACTGGCAGGGATTGGTGGCCCTCCCGTGGCGGTGCCTAGTGATTGGCCCCCATGGATGATGGTGACCGCAGAGACCCCGCCCCCAGCTGGCGCTGGGGTCTGGGGGCACTGCTCAGCGGTGCTGGGCTGGCGCGGCTTGAGCCGCCGCGGCACTGACAGCTCCGTCTGCGGACCATGGAGACCGGCGCCCGTCCACACCCGCTGCGCCTGTTGGTCTGCCTGATGCCGCTCTGTCTCGCGCTGCTTTTGGGACCCGGGCGGCCCGGCACGGCCGAAGAAGGTGAGAAGATTGATGGCTGTGCTCGGAGCCTGAGATGCCAAAACATAGGAGGCTGGAGACTGGGGTGCTGGGGGAAGGAGTCGTTGGAGAAACTAGAGTCTGTACTGGGGTTTGAAGGAGGCAGGCAGCGACCACAAAGAACTGGAGAGACAGAGAAAAAGGTGGCTAAGTAAGAGGGAAAAGAGGGACGTTGAGGAGTTTGGGGGCTGGAGAGCTGGGAGGCTGGAGAAGAAATTAGGAACGGCTAGAGCCAGAGGCGGCGGTTCAGAGGCCAGTGAGACCGGCAAGCTGAGTGATTGGAGATGGGAGGGGTGTGGGTGGGGAGATGGAGAGAGTAGAGGAGACAGGAAGATGAAGTGAGACTGGAGTATGGGGACGGATTAGAGTCTGAAAAGCGGGGGCTGGGGACCACGGTATGGACAACAGGAGGTGGAAAGCCGGTGGAGGAGGCTGGGTCCAGGCGCTGCCCAAGGTGCTGACCGTAGAACTGTCCGCAGTGCTGAATTCTCAGCATAGTCTACCCGGCGCTCTCAGCGTTACAGGCGTTGAGTCTGTTCGTGATACTAGAGCTGGAGTCTGGTCTCTAATTCTGCATCTGGAGGAGCTGTACACTCAGCTGAATCCAGAGGCGTCATATCCAGGTGCAGAATCCTGAAGAGCTGAAATCCGAGGCATTGGCTGGGGGGTTGGTTGAGGCGCTGGTTCACAGATGTCTTCCTATATGCAATTCTGATGTGGTGTCAGCTGTGCAGAAATCCGCACACTGCAGGAGGTCCTGCCTGCTGTAGCTGAGCCTCTGGAGGCAGCCCCTCATAGAGGCCCTCACCTTGACAGTCCACCCCCTTGCTTAAGCTTTAGATGAGTAATCATCTAAGATTTGGGGATGGCCTGGCTTCCTGCATCTGGGATATGGGCTCCTATCCAAACCGGTGCCTGTGATTCATACTGAGAGTATGCAGACTGCTGATTTGATGCCTCCTGGGGGAATAAAGTGACTCCAAGTTTCCCTGGTGTGGGAAAGGTCATGGATATCTATATGAAAGGACCCCGACATCCTTTCAAAGGCAGTGGAGGTGACTCCTGGAAAAGAGGCTGGCTGAGGAGATGAGAGATTTTGTTTCTCCTGTTGCTTGTAGTACTCTCCACTTTGCTTTTCCAGAAGCCTTGGGAGTCAAACCAAAAAGTTTCAAGCGCCCTCCATGCCTGGTAACCCCCAGACCTCAGAAAAGCCCCTGAGTAGATTTGGGAGGTTTTTTTTTTTTGACAGAGTTTCACTATGTTGCCCTGGGTAGAGTGCCATGGCATCACAGCTCACCGTGACCTCAAACTCTTGAGCTCAAGTGATTCTCTTGCCTCAGCCTCCCAAGTAGCTGGGACTACAGGTGCCTGCCACAGTGCCTGGCTATTTTTTGGTTGCAGTTGTCATTGTTGTTTGGCAGGCCAGGGGTGGGTTCAAACTCTCCAGCTCCGGTGTATGTGGCTGGCACCCTAGCTACTGAGCTACAGGCACCGAGCCCTCCTTCCTGAATTGTGGCTCCCTCTCTCTGGACAATGGAGCTACCCATACCCATTCCTGAGGATTTATGGTATGGGGAAAACTTGCCACATTCTCCATTCCCTCAGTTAGCATATTAACAGTGAATTCACCAAAGGATCCCACCCTCCTACTAAACTGGTTTTCTGAAATCTCTGTTCCACCCTCTCCTTAGTCATCCTCCTGGATTCCAAAGCCTCCCAGGCTGAGCTGGGCTGGACTGCACTACCAAGTAATGGGGTGAGTGTAAATCTGTCCCTCCCTGTCTCAGGGATCCTCTGCTGCTCTAGGACTCAGCTCCCCAGGAGCTCCCCTTTAGCTCCCTGTGGTTACATCAACTCAAAGTGCTCCTCAGAGTGTGTGGCCTCCAGCAGCCCTGGCTTCAAGCCAGAGTGGTCTATTAGAAAATGTTTAGTCTTCGATCAGACAGGAAAAAAAAAAGTGAATAAGTAAGGAGAGAAGTGGCTGTGTCTAGGATCAGAAAAAGGCTCAGGAGCTTAGGCGGGGGTAGGTGATCCAGGGTGTAACAGCAGTTTGGTGGAGTGCAAAGGGCATTCATTAGGTGGAGAGTCAGGACACTCCAGGCACCATTCCTACCTCTCGGTGTACAAACCTAGTCAAATCGCTCTCCCTCTGAGCCTCAGTTTCCCCATCTATAAAAACAAAGATTAGATTCATTTCTGGAGTTTCTCCTACCACTGCACCTTACAATTTCAGGGTGTGTACGGTGGTGGGAGAGAGGGCAGGAAAAGCCAAAATGGTAGAAAAGGAGTTTTCGGCAGGAGTCACTGCTAGGCTCCACCCTGGGAAGTACCTTGGCTCTGAGCTGTTCACCTCTTTACTCTTGTCCTCAGTGGGAGGAGATCAGCGGTGTGGATGAACATGACCGTCCCATCCGCACCTATCAAGTGTGCAATGTGCTGGAACCCAACCAGGATAACTGGCTGCAGACCGGCTGGATCAGCCGCGGCCACGGGCAGCGCATCTTTGTGGAACTACAGTTCACACTGCGTGACTGCAGCAGCATCCCTGGCGCCGCGGGCACCTGCAAGGAGACCTTCAACGTCTACTACCTGGAAACCGAGGCCGACCTGGGCCGCGGGCGGCCCCGCCTAGGCGGCAGCCGACCCCACAAAATTGACACTATCGCAGCGGACGAGAGCTTCACGCAGGGCGACCTGGGCGAGCGCAAGATGAAGCTGAACACAGAGGTGCGGGAGATCGGCCCGCTCAGCCGGCGGGGTTTCCACCTGGCCTTTCAGGACGTGGGAGCGTGCGTGGCACTGGTCTCTGTGCGAGTCTACTACAAGCAGTGCCGCGCCACGGTGCGGGGCCTGGCCGCGTTCCCAGCCACCGCAGCCGAGAGCGCTTTCTCCACGCTAGTGGAAGTGGCTGGGACATGCGTGGCGCACTCGGAAGGGGAACCTGGAAGCCCCCCGCGCATGCACTGTGGCGCCGATGGCGAGTGGCTGGTGCCAGTGGGTCGCTGCAGCTGCAGCGCTGGATTCCAGGAGCGCGGTGACACTTGCGAAGGTACCCAGAGGACTGGGATGTGGGGGGTGGGGTGGGAGGAGAGGGTGATGTGCAGGTGGCAATGGGGAGAGTATGCCCAAGAGGCAGGAGGGGGAGCGGAGACACGGTGGGCTTCGGGGGCAGAGAGTCCCGACCTTTTGTGCAGCATCCAGTGTGTGAAGTTACTATGAAGTGAATTTGGCTAGATATAAGGAGGCGTTAGGAACCTGTATTTCAGGCCAGACAGGGTGGATCACATCTCTAATCCTAGCACTCTGAGAGTCTGAGGTGGGTGGATTGCCTGAGTACAGGAGTTTGAGACCAGCCTGAGCAAGAGTGAGAACCCATTTCTACTAAAAATAGAAAAATTAGGCACTCTAGCTACTTGGGAGGCTGAGGCAAGAGGATCACTGGAACCCAGGAGTTTGAGGTTGCTGTGAGGTATAATGCCATGCTACTCTACTGAGAATGACTCTGAGACTCTGACCCAAAAAGAGTGAGATCCCCATCTACTAAAAAGAGAAAAATTAGCTGGGTGTTGTGGTGGGCAGCAGCAGTACTAGCTACTCTGGAAGCTGAGGCAAGAGGATCCCCTGAGACCAGGAGTTTGAAGTTGCTGTGAAGTATGATGCCCTGGCACTCGACACAGGACCTCAGAATGAGACTCTGTCTCAAAAAAAAAAAAAAAAAAAAAGGAACTTGTATTTCAGGCACTATGATAGGCACCTCCCACAGACCTTCTCATTTATATTCATGGCAATAAAGTAAGTTATCATTATCCCTACTTCTTAGATGAAGAAACAGAGCCTCAAAGATTAAAAGGTCACTTGCAAAGTTAGGTAAGGGGGAGCCAGGTTTGCTCAACTTTCAAGTTCTTTCCACCATACCATGTTGCCTCCCATATGCACAAGGAAGAACTCTACAGAAGCCCAAGCTTCAAGCTAATGGGACTGGTTGCATTCTAGGGAGTAAGCTCCCGGTCATCAACCATATCCAAGTCAGAGGCTAGCGAGGGCATTCTTGAGTTAGGGAGAGAAATTGGGAGCTTGCACTAGATGACTACCAAGAATGATCCTACTCAACTTTCTGAACTAGAAGCATGGTACACCCTGGGAGAGAATATCTGTGGTGGGGGGTTTGCTGGGTTCTTAGGTCTGTGGGGGCAGTAGGAATGGACCTATCTTTCTCTCCCCTTTCTACAGCTTTGGAGGCTGAAGGTTAAGGATAGAGTTATGATTGTATGCATTCAACACAGATCAAGTGATGCTTTTTCCAAACCAGGTCCTTTTCTGGGTGCCAGGGCAACAGAAATGAGTCAGACATAGTCCCAGCTCTTGAGAAGCTCACAGTCTAGAGGGAGAGATTCAAAAATTAAAAAATAACAAGAGGTTGATATATGCTGTAACAGAGGGATACACAGAGTGGTGGGAAGACAGAGGGGGAAGTGACTAAACTTGCTTCATTCCTTTGTTCAGTCATCCATTCAATCTGAATTGAGGACATGCCAGCTGCAGTTAAAGAGGACTTATAGATGAATGCTACCATCTCTTCCCCAGGGGAAATTGTGAGTTAGTAAAAAATTGGGAGGCATGAACCTTCCTGAGCTCTCCAGATATATCTAGGATCCACCTCTGTGCTCTGTATCACTCATTGGAAACTCTATTTCTGTACCTACCCCATGGTATGCTATGATCTACTTATGTGTATTTCCACCACCAGACTAGGAACTCCTCTTTTTTTAGAAATGGGTCTTGCTATGTTGCCCAGACTGCACTGCAGCGGCTATTTATAGGCACAATCATAGTGCACTACAGCCTCAAATTCCTGGGCTCAAGCAATTTTCCTGCCTCAGCCTCCCAAGTAGCTGGGACTACAGATTTGCACTTCTCTGCCCTTGATTAGGAACTTCTTGAGCTGACGCACTGGGTCTTATAAGTCCCAGAAGCCCCAGTGTCCATAAAATGATATGGTATATGGTAGGTGTTCAGTGGAAACACATTGAATGAATGAGTGGCTATACCAGGGTGTGATGCATATTAACAGAAAGCTAAGAAAGCATGCAAGGGAGAACACAATTCTAGGGATGGAGAGGGCTTCCCAGAGAAGCAGCCTAGAGCATTCTGAGCTTAGGGGCTGTGTGTGCAGAAGCATGGAGGCAGGAAGGAACATAACATGGTCAGGGTTAGGTAAGTTCGGTCAGCATGGTTAGAGCAGAGGGCATGTGGGAGTGTGGGGAGTGATGGGGCTGGAGTGGGGCAGGGGCAAACCATGAAAAGTCTTCAACATTGAGATAAAGAGCTTAGACTTTATGCCTTAGCTCAATGGGGAGGATTTGATACAGGGATCTGACAAGGTTTGTATTTTCAAAAGATCACTCGAGCTACAATTGCAAAGAAAGGATTGGGGAGGGAAGGATTAGAGGCCAGAAGATAAGGAAGATGCTGCAATAGTCCAGGAGAAAGCGTACAAGGTCTGAACTAAGGCGGTGACAGAGATCACTGAGAGATAAGGATGTATGTGATCATGAGATAGCATCCACAGCCCTCGATGGCCATGTGACACAAAAGGAGAAAGGAGTCCCCTTTGACTCATATGCTACTGGGATCTGAATGGACAGAGATCATTCACTGGAGTACAGGTGGAGGGATGTGAAGGGACATGCCACATCAAATGTATGGCATCTATGATTCATTCAAGTGGAGGTAGCTAGAAAGTGGGTCTGGAGCTCAGAAACGCAGAGATACTACTTGAAGCTGTGGTGGGTGTGGTTAGGACAGACCAGGAAGAATGTGTGGGGCAAGAAGCAAGAGGGCCAACCACGTTGACTCACAGGACAGTGATATTTAAGCAGTAGAAAAAACAGAGCCCATAAAAAGAATGGGAGTGGTCAGAGGCTGGAGGAGGACAAGGACAGCATGTGATATCATGACAGCCAAGGGAGATACAGGTGTCCAGGAAGGAGGGGCTTACAGCGTTGGTAAGCAGTCAGGCAAGTCACGGATTGGGAAAAGTCCACTTGGCGACCTCGGTGAGAGAAGTTTCATCTGAGTGATGGAGATGCTGTAGGTTGAGGGATACAGGAAGTTGAGAAGGGAATCTAGAAGCCTATATTTGAATGAGGAGAAGAAAAGGTATCTTGAGGAGGACACTGGGTTGAGAGAAGATTTTTATTATTTAAAGAGAGAGACTTGTTCGTATGGTGAAAGGTAAAAAGCCAGTGGGGTACCTGGTGGGGGATAGTGGGAGCCATCTGCTTTGGAGGGGAGAAGTATTTTATTACTGTAAGTTAGAACTGCTGATGTATGTTGCTAATAAAAAAACAGGTCCCTGGGTGGTGCCTGTAGCTCAGAGGAATAGGTCGCCCACGCCATGTGCCGGAGGTGGTGGTTCAAACCCAGCCCTGGCCAAAAACTGCATAAAAAGAACAACAACAACAAAAAAAAAAGAACAAGTCCCAGCTACTTGGGAGGCTGAAGCTGGAGGCTTGCTTGAGCTCACTGGAGTCTGCAGTGAGCTATGACCACACCACTCAATATATACTGATAACAAAAGATGAATACAAGTCCCACTGAACACCTCTTGTAATTGCAGAAATCGAACATGAGTTAAGTATTACAATTTTAATATAGTTTTATCCTTTCTTTTTTCTTTTTTTTTTT